TAATCTAAAAAATCATGTGTCAATTCACGAGTTTGCTCACAGAGCACTTTGATCGTTAAATAAGTCAAAAAGTATTAGTAGCGAGGCTAGATAATTAAACCGAATAGGAATTTTTCTTTGTTGTACCATCTTTGTTTGTTTTTACCTTGCTTCGGCAGATATTTATAGGGAACGTAGACACAGGATCGGTGGTGCGAAACGAACTGAAGATGCCGTTGAGGACTCGCTGGCTCAGAATAGTCCCTCGTTCGTGGAATAACCACATTGGAATGCGGGTGGAATTTTATGGCTGCTGAACCGACAACGGTATGTGCTTGTTTGCGTTTTGAATATTAGTGTTTTTTTTTTTTTAGATAAGCCAAGTACTTGAATTGTGAAACTCTATATACGATAACAAAATCAGTGACACCCTCGGCTGCACCTTCTGTACCACTTTTTTGTTCGTAACGCATTTTGAAGTCATTTGGGATCTATTACTGAACAGACGCAGGGCAACATGGAATCTATTTCTTGAATAGAAGAAATATGTTTTCCATAACTTATACGGTCATCACTTTGAATAAAAACAAAAAAATAATAATAAAACAAAAGCAAATAATAACGCTAGCAGTAACGACAATACTCATGATAATTGGATTTAAAATCTTTCGTCTCTTAAACCAACATCATATTATTCTCTTCGCTAGTAAACACAGTTCCTTCTGTCCGTTTAAATAGTCAAGTTAAATTCACTTGGGATTGCACCTTTACCAATGCTTCTCCTGTCTTATGAAACTCACTGCCATTTTCTAATAAGTTCCTTGCTCAAGGAACATTTTCCATATTCGAGCTATATTTGCCCGGTTGATAATGTGCTGACATGAGATGGGTCACTTAAGGAAGTCTATTTTTTTTTCTTAAAGGAACGACCTTCATTTCCAAGCGGCGCAGGAAGAGAAAGTTACACAAATCACCTTGGCAACAGAAAACAGATCAGTAACATTTTAACCTGCTAGGAAAAGAGCTGGATCTGTGGCAAATAGCTTGACTGTATTTCTCTTGGTTTTTTTCCTCTCTAAAATGGATATAAGCTGGAAGAAGAGTTATTTTTTTCAATAGCTGGCAGTGTTATCTATTCAATTTGGCCTCGAAATGTCCTAGAATTAATATAGACAGTACTTCAAAGGGCTACCTTTGAGTAACGTGTAGGAAAAAATCTGTATTTTTAGTAGAATGTCGTAAAGAAACATTCTATTATGATAGCAACGAACGTGCTCAATACGAATGAATCGAAGTAACATATTTCAAAGCTTTCTTGGAGTATATACCCAAACCCTAGTTAAACTCTAAACCAACATTTTGTGACAAAAAATTGTCCCTTCTAGCTACAATACAATTTCTCTCCAATTAGTTCAGAGAATTTCTAATTAAATCGAAGCAACACCCAACACATGATGCACCTGTTTTCTTTGCGATTTAATAATTATTTCATTTATAAGGGGAGAAGCATGTCTATTATTTCTGGGAGGAAAAATGTCAAAGTTGGACCTCGATTTGAACACAAAACTGCAGTATTCCAAAGTCAATGTAGCCAAGCCAGGCACAGAAGTTTTATATGTGTGAATTTAGTTTGACTATTGCATGTCAAAAATAATGCCTAGTCAGATATGCCATCAATTAGGATTCCTAAACAACATCAGCGTTATCGTTGTATCTGGATTAAATAGATCAAAATTTTGTGAAGACCTTATTAAATTTACACTGTTTTTCTTAGCCCAAAAACGTGCAGGTTTTCACTTGATAAACGGCTACGTATTGCTTTATTATTTAAGAGTTGACTCCTCCACTTTGATCTCCTTACCTTGTCCTGCCGATGTCATCGACAGCTTCTCTGTGCGTTATTCTCAACGTATTTTAAAAAGAAAAAGGGGGTTTGAATAACAAAGATATTCACTTTCTTTCAAATCGAGCGGTATTCTTTCATTCTATTTTGTTTCTATGCAGGCCCCAGTAACAGTCACTTTTTATCATACAGCGGTCCGTATCAGGGTTTACACAATAACAGCCAGTTACTGGCGCTCTACCGCCGTCTGTAAGGCCTCATACTGTGGTCTGTTAAGCTTGCGAACAGTCTCCAAATTTTGGGTTTCGGTTTGCCGTCCCCTTGTCGAGCACAGCCGCTTTTACATCTTCGGCAGCCGCACATGACGTGATATATTGAAACTAGTCCGTGGCTTAAATATGAAAAAAGCCATCTTTCATTGGAAAAAAAGCGCAGGATTTAACACCCGTTACGTTTACTCAACTTCTTAATTAAAGAAAAAGTCCCTCCTTCGTTTTGAAGAGAGTTGATCGTTAATTGTAAACATGGTAACAGTATGAACACAATGAAAATGACGTCTCTTTATTCTCCAGTTTATATTCTGGTTAAATCAAAATAATATATTCACCATATTTGTAGCTATACATTGGTTTTTTTTTATTTTCTTCCTAAGTTTTCTGTTTGTTAATTCGTCGAATAACCTAGAGGGTGGCAATCTTTTTCGTGACAATCTCTTTCCAACCACAAAAGCGTCCATTATTTTATGGTTGTGTATCCATTCATTTCTCTTTCCTGTAATGTCATTTATTTTTAAAAAGTTCGCTCAGAAAGGGTACTCACGAACATCAACACCACATAGCGTGTGAAAATCTAATTTTTATAAATAGACAACAGAGACAAATTGTGCAAAATAAGATTATTTCTCAGTAGCTAAAATTTCGAGAAAATTATGGTGAGGTTGTTTACCCGTTAAAGTTATTCTGAAACACATTTTGCCTCAGGTTTTGTTTTCAAGAAATGTTTGTTTACACACAGACCAAAGCTGTTAAGACATAACACCTGAACGACAGGCAAGAATACAAGCAAACCACCTTATTTATCGAATAACTTGAAGTTCTTGTTTTAACGAAGATGAAGAAAGTTCCCTGATATCGAGTTCATCATATGCATTTAAATATGACGATCAAGACACAAATAAAAAATTAAGCAAGTTTATTCGCGACTCTATCCAAATTATTGAGATGAAAACGTAAACTTCTTTCAGCACCGATAACATAACGCACAAAGGATTCTATTTCTTTTCAATAGACTTCAAATTACAAACTGAGCTCTTTTATCTCATTGGTTCAATTCTCTTAGACAGTAAATTGATTTGGTACACAAAGCGACCTTATGAAGGGATAGAATAACTCCAGGAGGTTCATAAATTCACGATTACAATAAATAAAAGCATACAGGTTTACTTTTTACTGCCAGATGACAATTTGCAAGGAAAGGTTATTTTTCACGCTTCGCCAGCGACTCATAGCCATGAAAAATTGAAATAAATGCGAGATAAAATTGTCTAAGGTCTGATCGATTTGGAAAAGTGAAGACCATGAAATCGATTCTGCAAATATTCACGGTAAGGAAGGCTTTCTAACTGCAAATAATGTTGTTTTGTTTGATGTTCCTGCATTTATAGTTATGTAACTTAAGACTTGGTTCGAAAGATCTACTACAAAATTATTGGATAGGGATCTATTCTAGGAGTTTTTTTTCTCATTAATTTTGGGAAATTTTCAACTTCTCCAACTTGTAGACTCAATCTACTTGTCACTTTCTGTCGTTCTCTTTGCGAGAGTCAAAAGCCTCCAATCTGATGACATGTGCTATGCATAATAATAGAAGTTCCTCAAACATCCGAGTTATTCAATATAACATCCATACACACTTTCTATATTGATGTCCACATCAGTCTAAGAGGCTCTTGTAAGACTCGTTTAAATGATCGTGAATTGATGTGAAATGATAGCAATAACTGTAGCGATAATAATAAAAGAACTAGTTTTTTTTTCCTTTTTCTTGCTTAGTTTTTGTTCATCGCAAATGCAACTGTGGTCAGTGACGGTAAGAAGTATGAATTGAAATTTAGTAGCGAAGATAGACTGGCATCATGATGTTCCAGTAACGGTCATCCGCTGAAATAAAAAGCATTAAAAGAATAAAATTCCTACCCTTAGTAAAGGTGAAATAAAGTTTGGGATGGCCTATCTAATGCTCCTAATGGACACCAATATAAACGTCACTAGCAGAGAAAACTTCTCTGTTCTGTGTTTTCTGCTGTTCGTTAGTTTTGATTCAATTACAACCGTTTCACTATTTTTTCCTTTCTGTTAAATAAATATTTGTATATATGAATTAAATATAAGTGTAAAATTTGGACTTACGTAAAACAGTGCTTAATACATAGGAGTAGAGCGATGCATATATTGTGGGAGGAAAAAGACAAATAAACTGCCAGTTTATCCCTACAGACCTGTTTCGTGGTTGCCCACTCATCAGGGGATTTAATGAGAATAATCTTTACCATCGCTTAGATACAATATTATCTAATTTATGCAGCGCAAAATTTAACAGTTTAGTTGTTGCGTAGGAGGGCTTTGTTTCTGTGACGGCAGGAAAACACAAGTTCATTACGTTTGTTTAGTGTTGATAGTTCGGGTCAGCAACAACTAAACTGTTAAATTTCGCGTTGCATAAATACATATATATATATATATATATATACCCATATATTTAACTATATTTGTATATCTGAATCACAGATGATGGTGTTCACCACAACCGCATTACTGGTGAAGATATATCAAATATTTAACTTCGACTTAATAGTATGTAATTGAAGGAGAGGGAAAGCGAGCCCTAATTACAAAGCGAAGAATTTTAATTTCAGGGCTCCTAAATGACTGTTACCCCTTTTTTGAACTTTTACTTGAACCAAACGGTGTTTAAATGAAATGAAAAACATTGTGAGTGACGGAATGAATGAGCAAGAGCATGCTTGAGTGATTGGATGAATGAGTGAGAGCTTGTGTGATCAAGTAAGTGTGTGAGTGATCAAGTTATTGCGTGAGTGATGAAGTTATTACGTGAGTGGTGAATATTGAGTGAGTGATAGAATGAGTGATCGAGTGAGTGAGTTAGTGAGTGATATAGTGAATGATCAAGTGTGTGAGTGAGTTATTGATTGAGTGGGTGAGTGAATGAATGAATGAATGAATGAGTGACTGAGTGATAGAATAAGTAAGTAAGTGAATCAGTGAGTAAGTAAGTGAATGATCGAGCGAGTGATCGAGTGATTGAGTGAGTAAATGAGAAAGTTATAGAGGGAGGCAAGGGGAAGAAAGGAATGAGAGTAATTAAGAGAGTGATGGACTAAGTGAGTGAATGACTAAAAGAGTGACTAGTCGAGTTAGTGATTTTTTGAGTGAGGGATTGGGTAAGAGAGTGAGTGATCACTCGGGTTAGTTAGTGAGTGAGTGAATGAGTAAGAGAGTGTGTGATCGAGGGAGTGAGCGAGTGATAGTGTGTGTGGATGAGTGAATGAGCGGGGGTAGGAGGCGGGGAGGAAGGGAGTGAGAGGAAATAAAAAAAAAATCAAAGCCTGTTAGTGATCTCTTTTTCCTGTTAGAAAATGTCGAGTGTGGCACAAGTCACTGTTTAAACGGAGAAACTTGTTCCAAGGATGGAAGTAGTTATATCTGCACGTGTTTGGATGGATACCTAGGAAACCGTTGTCAAACGAGTGAGTGACTGTTCCCCAAAAAGACGACACATCATAAATCCCTTGATGCCTCATAGCCTTTGGACTCTGAGATTCAGAACATTACAGGTCCGCTTGAATTACCGAAACGAAACAATTTTTGTGAGCCAATAGTCGCAAAAGGTATTTCACTGAAATTCTCATCCATTCTGCGATATCCCGTTTGCACTCAGACTCAAACAGTTGAAGAAGATATGAGGAGATGGTAATTTTTTTGAAGGAGATTGTAACTGCGAGGTTAAGTTAATTTTATTTTTTGTCTAATGTTTGCAGTAAAATTCGAGGTAAAATAGAAAAACTTCGTTGCCTAATGGGTAGCAAATGAATGACACCATAATGACTATTTACAAAACTATTAGTCTATTTGTTTGGGTAGCTGGAACGAGGGAAAAAAGAAAGGGGCTATAAAATAGCTGAATGTCGGGTGGATAAAGCAGTAAAGTAAAATTAGTCAAGAATTACAAGATACCATTTCAATTAAAACGATTTGTCTTGCTTTCAAAAATGCGGAAATTATGGATTTACATCAAGCCATAACATGTGCGTCTATTACAGAAAAATTGCCATCGTCCTCCATTGATAATGTCCCAATGACGTCAGCAGCTCAAAGGATTGCTCGGCTGGAAGCAAGTGCAACGACTTTCTCACCTATTTCGAATCCCTTTCCGTCCTTGCCCATTAAAATCCTGTCAACAACTCAGGGTAAGCCTTTTATTCTTGAAACACTTAGATATTGAGAGTAGTAGAGGTTAAGGTTTCCAGCGAATAATGTTTGCATTCTCGTTTACTGCGGCATTGAGGGGTTCAAGCATCACAAATTTACTTGCCTTTTGAAAGATTACATGTAAATGCTTCTGATGAAATATATAATGGGTCCACGTTGTTTTTTTTACTCACCAACAATAAAGACTTTCTCGGTGGTATCTACAGGAAAACTGAAAATGACCTCGTCGTCTGAAATAAGCAGTGACGAGCAGACAAAATTACCCTCTTTATCCAATACCATGCAACCTTTTCTCACACCAAAACCGAAGATAAACTCGCTTAAAAGAAGCAGCGACGTGCATACGGAATCAACCCCTTTCTCCAGCAACATGCAGCCCTTTTTCAAAGGAACACTGAAGATAACCCCGTGCAAAGGAAGCACAAACAGGCAGATGGAGTCAGCCCCTCTCTCCAGCACCATGCAGCCCTTACTCTCACTCATTAACTTGACAGGATCTCGAGGTAAATGTATGACATTTTACTTACTTCTGTCTTTCAATTGAAAGCATTTACTCTACAATTGCAAACCAAGAACAAGAGGTTACGTGGTTGTTAAGTCTACAATGATAACCCTGTGCTCGTAAAGGATACTCCACGTCTTCTGCTTTGTTCTCATAAGACTTCTGTATAAACTTTTTTCACGGTAAAAGTGAAATACAGAAATCGGAATCGAAAAAGAAAGCTTAAAATGTTTTGTATGATTGATGTATCTATGTTGAAACGCTGTCGCTAAGAAGTGGTACGGTAAATAATGGTTTTATTCTAGGGAAAATCAGCAGCATAAAAAACAGTGTCATCAGCAACAATCATTAAAACTTAGAGTTCGAAGCTCTTTTCTTTTAGGCTTGTATTTTCACCTACCTGGTTTATATAATGCAGCAAAACCAAAACTAATTTTTTCACCTATCAATGACTTTTGCCAGGCCTGCAGTCATCCACTGTGACTCCTTCGCTCTTGATGAACTCATTATCCAAACCATCGAATGAAGTCAATAAAAGTAAACGTCAGTCAATAGCTATAGAAAAAGGTTCCCCTTCTATTCAAGGTGAGCTACATCTATGAATAGTTTCGTGTGTATTTAAGACTATTGACAATCATTTGTCTACTACTGACAAACGCAATTGAAGAATTATTGAGCTAGGCAAAAGTCAAAATGGCGCTGATGTGGCACCCCATCTAGCACATGGATTAATCTCGATGTTACTTAAAAATAAGCAACATTAACAGCAACAACAAGAACTACAGTCTTAAAAACAGGGTTCGAAGCTCGTTTATTTTAAGGCTTGGATTTACACCTACCTGACTTTCAATAATGCAATCCCACCGTTAATAGTTCTCTCTCTTTGCAGGCCTGCAGTCATCCACTGTGACGCCTTTGCTCTTGGTTAACTCATTATTCAAACCATCGACTGAAATCAGTAACAATAAACCTCTGTCTCAAGCATTAGAAAAAGTTTCCCCTTCTACTCAAGGTCAGTTACGTCTCTAAATATTTTTTTAGTGCATTGAAGTGGATACAGCGGCAAAATCAGTGCGCATGCTCATAACCCACAGAAAAGTTTACGTGTGCAAAAGAATGGGAATGATAATATTTCTACAGTAACCCTATGGCAGGAAAATGCCAGCATTTTTAAATTCTCCATCGTTTGTTTTCATTTTACGAAAACGAGCTCAAACCAAAACAGGTAAGGTTGCCGTTTCAATAAAGTTTCTTTGGAAACTCCACCGTCACATATCTCACTCAACAAAAACAAATTTTGCATTAACAGCTGCGAATTTAGGGACTGAAATAGAGTATCCGTGAGATGGCTATGAATTTCGAAGCGACTGCTATCCTTTTAACTGCTAGGGTGAATTCAAGACTGCTTGCGATGAACTTTAATTAAAAGAACGCTGCTTGTCCTTCAGACTTTTCCATAAGAGCAAACTCCATTATAGAGTATATTATTGCATTTTCTCTAATGGGAAGAGGTTGTTAAAAATTGAAAATTCGAGTTTGGTGTTTCCAATAGCAGGAAGAAAGCAGAATCAAGTTTGATATCAGGGAAAGACTCGATTTTATTTTCAACGTCTAATTAGATCTCGATCGTGCAGTCATGGCTAGATTATGCGACAAAGGCTATCAGAAAGACTTTAATACGTTCAGTCTCATCTAAGTAACTCACAATCAGTTTTTAATCCCGCCGCATTCGTATGTAGGAGTGACCATTAGCACATCCATATCAATACCAAGTACAGAAAAAGAAGGAAACTGCTTTAGCGTTCATGTACACTGCATAAAAATGAAAAATGGATCCTGCCGGTCTTACTGTGTGTATGTGGACAAGAGCTATCATGGAATGGATAAATGTCTCTGTGAGTACTATGAGCTCAAGACGGTATTTGATTGCATACAAGAAAAACACCTATTTTGTATATTCGTAGCTTTGGGTATATTTTGGAGTATCATAGTTGGACAAAGATAACGAAGACAGCTCCTGAGAATTTGGAGTAATTGAAGCGCGGTCCGTTTTCATTGTTAGAGCAGTTTAAGACTTTGTAGCGAAGACAATTAAAGGGATAATGTAAGTTATTTTATACCGGGACCCACCGAAAAGGCCATCGAAGGTGTGTAATTCAAACTGGTCTCTGTTTTAGAATCGACAGCAACATAACGCGCGCATGTAACACAGACGCTCACTTCGCATAAAGATGCGAGTGCTTTCATTGAAAAGAGTTTGAGTTAAGGGTCGTTGTTAATTAGTTTTCTCTCTTCTTCTTAGTTAAAGTTACTTTAAAAGTACGGCACCACTTGGTTCTGGTTGAATTCATAGTAAACTGCCCAATGAACTACCTAGTTAAATCAATAATTCTTTCCATTGCATTAATAATACCACTTAGGTGAAGATATCGATACCTTGGGACCACCTAAGGCAGAGATACTCTCCGCATCCAAACAGCCATTTACGGAAGAGACAGATGTCATGAAACGCGACGAGGAAAGAATGTTCCAAGCGTCCATGACTCGACATGAGCACGAATTATTAAAAACCCCGTTGTCACTTGCTTGGTTTGTGAGAGATGTGAATGTCACGCCTTTTGCAATTTCCAAAAATCGGACGCTTGTAAACCGAGGTTCCCTGATCTGGAATGCCCCCGCTGGATCGCTATCAACGGGTCTGAAATTGATTGAATTCGAAGTTTCTCACTTAAACTCAACTGCAGCAAGACGAGACTTAACTTTCATCAAAGTGGAAGAGCCATGTCTAATTGCTGTGATAAACGGTGGATCCGAAACCCTGGTATCTGCCAGAGGGCACATTGACATCAATGGAGGCGATTCCATTGATCCGGGAATCGGCGGGGCTCGTTCTTCTGGTATGAAATTTAACTGGACATGTTTCGATGGCGGATCGCTTGTGCCCATTTATAATGATACCCGAGCCATAGTAGTTCCGTCAGAATTATCCAAGAGAACTGCATCTATCTGCCAGAGCCAGGAAATGAATGAGACAAGAGGACGTAAAATTCTCTTTCAGCCTAAAGCGGAACACATATACTACATCCTGCTTGTTGTCGAAAAAGATAGCCGCCAGGCTGAGTTTCTTCAGACTGTTTATGCAGTAGATGAAGACATGCTAAACGTCAAAATCAGGTAGAAGTGTAAATCAAAAAAACAATTTTTTATGTATTAATTCATAAATTTACTCGTTAAATTAATATGACTAGACTCCCAGTTACCCCTGTCCCTATTTTTCGGTTTTCACTTGAGACTTGCAGCCATACATGTTTCCTATTTGGAAATTTTAATTTTTTTAAGTTGACCAAAACCTACTTAATTTAAAGAGGTCTTTAATTATACTAGACCATGGATTAACAATTTTCTATAATTATAGTCTAACTTTGCAACGATACACAGTTGCATAGTGTTATAAAGAGTTCATAGTAAACTGGTATTCAGTGAGTTTCTTTTGTCTTTCTACAGATGCGTCTCTAACTGCAAGAGGGATGTTATACCCAGTGAACGCTTTAGCTTGACAGCTGAGTGCTCCGGGTTATGTAGACTGAAGAACACTAGCATTACCTGGAAATTGTTCACAAAGGGATTCCAAAGCAATGAATCCACAACAGTGTGGCATCTGAAAGACTCCTTGAAATCGATGATATCAACAAAGATTAGCTCGAGAAATATCGTTTTTAGACAAGGAAGATTACTGGAAGGTTCATCTTACAGGCTAACAGTTAATGTACAATTACCGGACGGACAGTATGGTTGGGCGGCGTACCAGTTTAAAACGGTCTCCGTGCCGACAGGTGGGACCTGCAACGGCACACAAGCAGGCGGAGAAACTTTAGGAATTTTACTTAATATCCACTGCACTGGATATAATGACAAAAACAAGCATCTCACCTATGAGTTTTTCCATCAAGTCGAGGGCGGTAATTTCCACTTGTTACTGTACAGTGCTATACCATTTGTCACTGTTCAGATTCCTAAATTTGATAGCGGGGAGGTTGACATAAAGGTTGTCATAATCAATTCGTTCGCAGCGAGAGCTGAAACTTCCTTCAGAATCCAGGTGAGTACAAATGAAGTATCATGATCAATTTACGTATTATGTTGATATCGAAGTTCAAGCTCGTCACGATCATTAGGAGAGCATAATATCCACTCTTAAGGGACTAGATGACGAAAATTTGGAGTAGTTTTGCGTGTCATTGACAAAAGCCTTTTCGAGATTCAAACCTCGAAAAAGTCTTTTGTCAGAAAGGGAGAAACATCAATTGAAAATCAAGATTTTAATGAGGGTAGACGATGTTATGTATGGCAAGCAGTAAAACGGACTGCAAATGACGAGCTTCACGTCCAAGTTTATTTTTGTAAGATGGGAAAACTTAAACTTGGCTCCTTAGAAAATAGCAAACGAGTAATGAAAAACTCAAAACTAGCATAGAACCACTTGCCATTAAGTTTTGTCTGTGGTCGCCATAACGTGTTCGACCCTTGACCCGAATTATTTTCTTTTAATTTTAGTTTGTTACTAACATTTTGTTACTCAACAGGTTACAAACCCATCATGGACTAATTTTCCTGTGGGTGCACCTCTCTTCTTTCGTCGTGCTGAAGCTTCCTTCACAAGATATTTGAAGGAAGGATCCTTGAACGACGCCTGGCAGATTGCACAGGTCCTCATGCAGGCAGTTATTACAAATGAAGATGCACATTGGATAACAAAGAGTTACGAGAAAAATGTAAGATGTAATTCTCATTTTAACCTTACCAGACCATCATTACTTTTCTCTCCGACTCACCACAGCTTTCTACAACAAAATTATATGGTGGCCGTTATTGTTATTATCCTAGACAAGTAAAATTAGTATTCATGAATTAACTTGTATTTGACCTTCAGATGAGAATTCAAGTAAAATAATGATCCTCGGTTGTGGGCTGAAATTTCGGAGATTCCAGAATAAAAGCAAAACGAAAAACCTAAAAATGTATGTTTCTTTTCTGCAAGTTCTTAAATTGCAGCCGACCAATGAAGTGGTGTTTTCCTTGATTGAAACGTATGATCGAAAACAAAACTAAACCACAGCATGAACGTTGCGAAGTCATTCAGATGCTTTACTTCAAGCTATCTTTTAAAGGGATTAACAACATATTCTTTTTACTCTATTCTTTTTGTAGATTAGCGACCATATCTTTCAAAAATTATCGAATTCCAATGCATCAGATGTGCAGACCGTTCTTCAGCTGTCGTCAGTCTTAAACCTGACAACTTCACATCCAAAACATTTATCTTCAGCAACCATGGTAAATATCGTTGACCTTCACGATTTTCTTCCTCTTTTCGTCAACTGGAAAATAATTTATCAGTTGCTATCGTGTAACTTTCCCGTTTTCTACCCCACCAAAGTGTCTCGAAAAAAAATCTCGATTAAGCCATTCATTCAAAGGCTCCAACCATGTGAGCCACTTGAATTCCGCATAGACTCGACAATAATGGTTTACTACGAATCCCCTTCCTCCTTACACCATGAGTCAGACTAAAGGAAAACTAAGACTTAAAATACAACAATGCACATGGAAACGCATTCTTCGCGCGCTAAGCCTGCCATTTGTGAAAAAAGAAATAAACACTTCCGTTTCTTTCTTATAGTGAAAGGTGTAGTGGAGCCTCAATGTAGAGAACATTTCAAAAAAGAAAGTGTTGATCACTTACCGAAGTATCATTCCGAGACCTATCATTCATGTACGCAGTGATTTTTCTTGCTTTTTCCATTATAGCACATTGGATTGGAAATACTTGAGAAATGGGTGCAGTTAATAGACATCAGATTTCGCGGTGGTAATGGGAAAGACCGTGCTCTCAACAGAGATGCATGGCACCTTGTGCTACATTGCTCTGGGAATATTCTGCACGCCATCACACATAGAGTTTCTTCCTCTACAGATGAACGAGGAAAGGTAGACTGACAGACTTAAATAACTGTGTTGCATCATGCACTTGGACAGGCCACAGAATATCTTGCTTTCGCAATATACCTTAGAAGCTTATTTAGTTCATGCTAGAAAGCGTCATCCTTCTGATTTTATCACATTGCCTTAGTCTTTTTTAAAGAAGGATCAAAATATTGATAAATAGTTTTGAACAGGGAATACTAAGCTAAGATTCGCAAAATAGCCTCGACTCTTAAGATAGTCTCCTCTAGAGCTTTATTTGGAACTCGCTTGTTTTCGAAGACCTAGAGACAACCTTCCAATATCTTAACTCACCTCACGAATCCTCTTGCTCACATTTATTCTAACCCCACACCACCAAAGTAGCAAAGGAACAGAGTGGGTACATATATAGGTAACAGTTTTTCAGGAGACCTCATACAACGAGCCTGAAAACAATAAAAGCCTACAAGAAAAATTTGTCTCCTTGCTCAATGTGCGCGTGCCTTTCATCTTCATCAAAGGAAAATGTACTTTTGACATGTAGCTTGTAGGCGAGAAATATTCTTACGAGCAGCAGGTTATACTCGGCTGTCCATTTGTCAGAGCGAATGACGAAGGGCCAACCCTTGTAACGTCAGCTTTAAAAATCCCTCTTGAGACCAATTTACATCATCGACTCAGCTGAAAAAACAAAATTATCTTCTTATACACCCCATCCGACGCAGCACCATAGTTTCTTTAGAAAATTAACCCCTTCATACGTTTGTCTATTCGTCATTTGTTATTACGGGGCTTGCTTGAAAGGTCTGTTCATGTGCGTCTGCCTACAGCCCTGCAAAATTTGTAGAGCAGTTGAAGGAGATATGGCAGGTGATCAGCTTAGCGTTTCTAGCAAAGTACCAGTAGCCACATTCAAACTGACCTTTGTTTTCGAGGACTATTAAAACTTTAAAATTGGTTTAATTAAAGTGTATATATTTTCACTACTTCATTTAACGAGAAATTTACTTTAATATTTCATAAATATTCTTACTTACCTTTTCAGTTGGAAAGGATGCAAAGAAGAGCACTAGATCTGCAGGAGTCAATGATGAACTCTATAATGTCGTCGAGGCTCACAGGAGAAGAATACAGCGTCATGAAAACTAAACATAACACTGTGATTTTGGGAAAGCTTGAAATTCACGAGATGAGTGATCTTCGAGTGGAAGATGACAAGGCAAGCTTTACTCTTCCGGTGTTGGACGAAGGCATGACAGAGAAATTGTTTGAAAATGCTAAGGATGTGCAATTTCAGGTACTGCGTAAATCAAACTAAAGATAGTGCTTCTCTGTGTAAAAAATCGGCGACCGAATGGATTTCGCGTTTTACTAGGATTGAAAGGTGTATATTCTACTCAGGAATATTTTGATTACTGGCCACATTAGTTTGGAAATCATGCTTCGATATGAAACTCACGAAACATCCTTTCAGTTAATAATGGGTTGTGTTAGATTCCATTGACCAGATAGCTGTTAACACTATTTAACCTGTTCTGCACCACGAGTGATCTTCGGGCTCGTAACTTGCTTGGCCGAAAAAAGTAGCACAGTCACAGAAGCATCATGTAGCTCTCTGGTAATTCACATTCAAAAAATGAAATATAAAAACAGTAATGATAATAGTAACGATGAAGATGGTATCTGTGACAGTGACCATGACTATGATAATGATGATGATGACAACAATGGTGATTATGATAGTGATGATGATAAAAAGCAGGTTATTTTTAATGCAATGACGACATAGGAGATTACAACGTATAACAAGTTCTCACTGAGTAAGGTTTCAAACCGATGGTCATCCAAAATTAAAATAGTTAGAACACTTGGCCTTTACAAGATCTTTCGATGCGTCTTTTAGAATAAATGCCAGTAAATTTATGATTACTTGATGCATTCGTCCTTTTGACTTACTTTCAAGATGATTAGCTACGCAGTAAACCCATACTCCCTCCATCAGCCAGTCGATGAAATCAACTCTGAGGTGCTCAGTCTGACACTCAAAGATGACAACGGAAACGTAATGAACATCTCAGACCTAGGCTCAGAGATCTCCTTGAAAATTCCAATAAGTGAGAAAGCAGAAAACGAGACACCATCAGTCGATGAGTACTCAGTCCCAGACTTCATGTTGTATCGAGATTTTACAGAAAGTTATGGAAACAGTAAAATCAAACTGTCCTTAGACTTACAGAGGTCTGCTCCCTTTGAACTTTATGTAAAGTATGGCGCTAAACCAACGAAAGAGGACTATGATTTTGCCACCACTCTAGACAAAGAGAATTGCCAGGATAAAACTAGCATCTGTGCCAATATAAGCCATCGCGTTTGGTTTGATGCCGAGCGTAAAGGGAAATATTTCATTGGGCTGCTTCATAAAGGAATATCGACGAGAAAGAGAAGGTCGACACTAACGGTAGATCCTCCTGAAAAAGGTTCAAAACTGGGTCAAATACTAAAGAAAAGGATGCCAAGATCCAATTCTCAATCGCCGCACTCTGTTGAAGAATTGTGTGTAAAGTTCAAGGATCCCCCAATAGATGAAACAACCGGTAAAGGGACGATGGACTCTCCTCCATACGACCCGCAAAAGTCTGTGAACTTTACAGTGGTCGTGGATTCAGTTGGATGTCGGTACTGGTCCGAGAGTAACCAACAGTGGTTGAATGATGGATGCAAAGTAAGTACCTGATATGAGAGTCTTCGAAAAGATACCGAGAGAAAATAAATATTTCTCGTTCTAGGGAAAAAAAGTATGGCTTAAGAATTAAATTCTTAGAAGGCACGTTAATGCAACTGAACCCATGGAAGAAATAACGGAGAAAAGGGGTTTCGATTGGGATGGACTCGGCTGTTTTAATTGCCGGTTTTTTTTCTCCTTATCAAGGTTTTAATATGAAAATGATTGTGAAATTTTTTTTTTTCTCACAAGAAAAGCTCTGCACTTAGCTTAGCTTAATTTTCAAGGTAAGGGTTTTTAGAACTTGCAAATACTCAGTTGTACTTGAATGTTCCTCATGAATGCAAAGCTAATGATAGTGCTGATAATCAGTTATATTCGCATAACGATTACCTTACTATACAGATGCTTTTGACCTAAAATATTCAAGAGGCTAATTACCCCATAATTTTTTTTAAGGCTGGTATTAATTCCACTGCCACCACCCTGCAGTGTCTTTGTAATCACCTGACATCATTTGGAGGGTATTTTGTGGTAACACCAAACAAGTTAGACTTTGACAAAGTGGTGCGATTTAGCAGCGATGACCCAAAAGATTACATCGTCATTATGACAGTATCAATGGTGTTTCTTGTGTACTTCATTGTGTTAGTCTTTGCCCGGCGGGCGGATAAAAGGGATCTTGAAAAGGTTTGTCACTGAAAAGTTATCCAAGAATTTGCATGTATACCTTTTTAAAGAAAACATTTTCCAGGCGCTATAATCTTGAGGAAATTATCTTTATTTTCCAACCATTCCATTGGTTTGAAAATATTTTCTGCTTTATTAAATCTAAGTTATTGGCTAAGTTATGTCTGAGCAAATAGTGCCCAAGTTAAAAGAAGCTTTCACTAAGGTGATTCGTTCCTTGGTTAAGGAGGAAGGGGATTTGAGGTGAGCCTATACCATAGAAGGAAGAATTCTTCAAGTTAAGAGACGAACTGCGCTGCAGAAAAAACGGAATTAGCCCGCGTACTCCAAGGTTTTTCGGTCGACGTTTGCTGCATACCAAAATTCCAATGCACACTACGGTAGTAATAAGAACAAGTGCCACTATATAGATACTCACTAAGGCTTTTCCTAATGGACTATCTTTAAACTAAAATAAAACTCATTTATGGACTGAGACATTACTCTTATTCGCGCAAACTGTCATGGCTTCTGTTGTTCCCCTTCAGATGGGTCCTCTTGTGCATATACAATCGCCAGGAGGATTCTATCAATACAAGGTCTCTATCACTACAGGGACTTGGCGAAACTCAGGCACCTCTGCCAACGTTTCCATAAAGATTATGGGGACTGAATCCTCCAGTAGTGTCATCGGATTATCTTGCAACTATGAGGAGAGTAGAAAACCCTTTGAAAGAGGATATACTGACAACTTCCTTATTGATATTAATCGGCCAATTGGCACGCTGATTAAAGTTACTATTGGCCATGACAGTTTTGGTGAGGACCCATCGTGGTTCCTGAACGACATCTTCATAACAGATCTTCAGTTGAACTGCACATGGACATTTCCTTGTTTTCGTTGGTTGGGCTTAGAACTAGAGGATGGGAAAACGACCTTAGAACTTTATGCCGCGACTGCAAACAGGTACTATGACTTTACAACTCAGTTCAATAACGCCAAGAATTACATGTTCGCCAACGAACACATGTGGTTCTCGATAGCAACTAAAGATCCAAAGGACGTGTTTACCCGAGTAGAACGAGTAACTTGCTGCTGTTTCTTTCTGCTTTGGGGAATGATCGTATCTGCCCTGTTTTACCAAGGAACTATTGACGAAACGAGACCTATTCAAATTGGACCTTTTAAAATTACTATCCGGGAACTATCAGTTTCTGTGATCACAGCAGTGATCGCTTTCGTACCCAGTTACCTCGTCGTATTTCTCTTTCGGAAGAGTAGACGCTCAAGAGTAGCAGTTGATGGAGACTATTATCGTGACCGCGATCATGATACCAGCGAATCATTCCAACTCCCTCACCTTTGCATCTACATTGCCTGGTTAATCTGTGTTGCTGGCTCAGTGCTGTCTTCCGTCTTTATGATTTTCTACTCTCTGGTATGGAAGGGAGATAAGTCATCGCGGTGGTTGGCATCTGTATTTCTGACCTCTACCGAGGACATATTTATTTCCCAGCCCTTGAAAATCGTAGTCATCTCTGTAATTCTGGCCTTATTGTTTCCGCGGAAAATAATCCAGACTCACGACCTCGCAAGCAGCACTGGAAGCTTTCAATCTGACTGCAATTCTAAACTCTTCAGCATTACTAAGAAAGAGATCGAGGAGCAAAGGAAATTCAGAATTACTGAAATGAAAACGAATTTATTTGCGAGGAACATAGTGTTTTCGATTGTCTTCCACGTTCTTCTATTGATAGTGTGTTACGGAAACAGAAGTGGTGAGCGATTTCACCTCGCTGAAGCTACACGCAATGCTTTTACAAACTTAAGTCAGGTACGAGACGACAGGTCCCTGAAAATAAAAAGGCCTTGAGTCTTTCAGATATGCAATAGCTATCTTAACATCCTAATTAACAGCTAATATTCGTGGGGTGCAAGATATTCAACAGTTGTTTATCATTAATCTTAAGATGTAAAAGTTTTGGCTCCTGCAATTAAAGACAAAGAATTGCAGAAACGTCAGTCAGAGAAAGCAAAATGTGAAGCATTGCGATCGTTTTGGAAAATCAGCAATGTAGGTTTGGTAAGAGACTGTTACAATTTGAAAGTCAAAGGCGAAAAAAATAACATAAAAAGGCTCGTTAATGTGCAAAAACCAAAAGAATTCATCGATATTCCCTGCATCAAACCATCTGCTGATCACACAACCAACCTAATATCTTTTACAGGTCAAAAATACGTCAGGGCTTTGGAAGTGGCTTGACGACGTTGTTATCCCAGTGGTCTATGCTGGTGAATGGTACAATGGTCAAAAAGAGCCAATGACTGTCTATACTGGTAACAAGCTCTCCATCTTACTAGGCATGCCGCGCCTACGACAATTGAGGATTAAAAAAGGTATGCAAAGCGACGAAGTTGCTTTTAGAAATGTGTTTCATTCGATCCTCTTATTCTATATAGCTTCCTTCTTTAGCACCCAAATTCATATCGTAGCTCGCAGGTATACTCGAATCATGAACTCTTTATCATACGAATTGAGTGCAGAAATGGATATGAAGTCGCTCAACTGTAAGAGCTAATAGCTCAGACCAAATACACTTTGCACACAAAACTCGACTTCTTAGTCAAACTTAAATCGACGTCTTAAAGCCTAACTCATTTTATTTTTTTGCATTTTTCTGTTTTTTTTTCGCATTTTTGCATGTTGCTTAATGGCAGCGAATGTAATAAAACTAAACTTCACGGGTTTTGACTCCTCCTGATTTCCTCTCCTCTGTCTGGGATAATCTACTGCCTCGTGAACTCAAACGACTTAAATTGCT